AAGTAGAATTCCCGCGATCTTCAGGCCTTCTGTCTGGGACAGGTGGTGCCAGGAGCCCGGGCCTGGTTGGCCGCGCAGAGATGCTGCAGTGCTGAGGTTTGCGGAGTTAGCAGAGGGGGGGAGGGCACCCGCAGAGCTCACCATCCCCTGCCAGCCGCGTCTGCAGGGCCTCCGTCGCGTGCTCAGCCGCCGCTGCAAGGAGCCTGGGAGACGCTCTCCGTTGCGCCATCCCGGGAAGAGGAGACAGGAACATAGCGGGAGGCGCACGGCAGCTCCGGAACTTGCCCTGGAAGAGGAGGTCAGAGAGAAGCTGGCCCTAGGCTGCTGAGCGGCAAGGTGCGCGCCTCCTGCTCAGGCCCTCAGGCCTCTGCCTCCGCCAGGCTGTCTGCCAGTCCTTCACCCGGCTCGGAGCGGCGTGCAGGGGCATCTCTGCCCCTCTCTGTCTCTCCCCCTAGCTTGGCAGGCCCCATCTGTCCCTGGCCTTGGCTGAAAAGGTGGAACTGTGACAGTGAGGGCAGATAACACATAGGGGAGGCACAGCCAGTTATTTATTTTTCCCATAAGATGGATGCGTTTGGCACAGCTCCTGGTGCCAAATTGAAATGAATGCTGGCTTCCCTGCCGGGCTGCTGCCCATCCGCCCTCCTGAGGCCAAGTCTCTGAGCACTGAATTCTAGAAGGTCGCTTGCCTGTCGCAGAGGAAAGCAGGGGTCACAGAGCTGCTCAGGGCCCGGAATGGCACGGAGTCTGCCTCACATGTACCGAGGGAAGGTGTGTGCGAGGGGAGGGAAGACATGGTCACGCTAAGGGTAGCAAGAGGCGTGTGTGTGTGTGTGTGTGCGTGTGTACGGTGTGTGTGATCAGGGCCCAATGAGGGCTGAGGTGGGAGAGGGGTCCCCACCCCCCACCCCGCCCTGCCCCACCCCGCTCCTGCTGGTCTGCCCGTGGGCCACACCCCCTGGAAGCCGGGAAGCAAAGGAGCCCTGGATGCGGGGCCCACACTTCCTGTGTCTCAGACTCAGGGCCAGCAGAGCAGAGAAGGAGTGGGAGCGGGGCACAGCCTGGGCAGGACCATCTATGATCATGCATGGGTTCAGCAGGTGGGATTGTCGCGATTCTTTCTCAACAGCCCAGCATGTCCCATTATTAAATACGCCACAGTTGACTTAAAACGCCTCCTTTTGTTCGTCTTTTTAATGACGAACATTTTCATGAAAGCACATTGCACATCTACCAGGGTTCACATCAGCAGCAGTGCGTGGCTTGACGCATCTCACAGACGCACGCCCGTGGAACCGGGTCAAGACCCGGAGTGTTCCCGGCACCCGGAAGCCTCCTCAGCTCCCCTGCCCCACACTGCTTCCCCAACCTCTGTCTCCTGACTTCTGAGAGTGCAGGTCTCCCCACTGCTCTGCCCGTGGGTGGCGCCTTGCAGGGTGAGTACTGTGCAGTCTGGCTCTGTCACCAAGCAGGTTCACCTCCACTTGCCCCAGGGCATAAGGTGACACTGGGTGTCTCATATATGTTAATTTTTCTTTTTCATTTTGCCTTTGACGTGTTTTCTTGGGGTGAATCTCCCGATGTAGGCGTCCTGGGTTGGAGGGTGTGAACATGGGTAGAGCTCTCGCTGCGTGAGGGAAGGGCGTGCAGATGCTGACCACTGCCCGGTACAGAAGTCTCTGGAGACTGCAGCGGTGACTCTGGCTGTCACTGGAAGGAGGCCGAGAGCAGTGCAGCTGGGGGTCCCTCTGGGGGCGAGGCTCGAAGCCTGAATGCTGACAGAGCAGTGACTCGGCCCCTGGTGGTTCTTGGTTGCTGACAACAGCATCCTCTACTGGCTGCCAGAGAGGCAGGCACAGACTATCTGGCAGGTGCAGTGTTCGGTGGCTCTGTGAGCAGGGACAGAACTAGAACCACTGCCCTTCTCTTCCCTCCCCTGCCGCCCCAGCTGGGCCTTTTCACCCGCCAATTCCCCGAGCAACTCAAAAGTCTTTATGTCACTAATTTCTACTTCCAAAGCACCTGGAATTTTCCAAGGAGGTTCTCCCAGTTATGGGTGCAGGGAGAGAAGTGACCACTGGCCACTCTGACCTGGCCCAAACCAGAGCCTACCACAAGGGCAGAGACTGTGCAGGTGGGTCAGGACGTGTCCCCACGGCCAGCTGCACTCCAAGTCAATGCTAAGATCTGCCCCGGCAGAGGAGCCTAAGCCTTCTGACCTAACGTGCCGCACCTGTTTCTGAGCTGCGGCACTTGTACCCGCCCCTCCCCTATAAATGACAGGAACTTTCCTCTGCACACTCACTTCCCCTGTATCTCTGCATGCACGGGCGGGGGGGGGGGGGGGGAGACAGCTGTGCAAACGACTCCCCGTGGTGGTCTCCTTATTTGCTGCCAATCAATTACTTGCTGTGACAACTCCTGCTGATGCGGCTCTTAATTGAACTCGCCAGGGCGCAGTGCTTGGGCCTCTGCCACCCACCCTGGAGAGCCTGGCTTCGGCCTGGCTCAGCCCTGGCCATTGGCGGCCATCTGGGGAGTGAACCAGTGGATGGAAGAGCTCTCTCAATCTCTGTCTCTCCCTCTCTTCTTTCTTTCTTTCTTTCTTTTTTTTTTTTTTTTTTTAAAGATTTATTGTATTTATTTGAAAGACAGAGTTACAGAGAGTGGTAGAGACAGAGAGGTCTTCCATCCACTGGTTCACTCCCCAATTGGTCGCAATGGCCGGAGCTGCGCCGATCTGAAGCCAGGAGCCAGGAGCTTCTTCCGGGTCTCCCATGCTGGTGCAGGGGCCCAAGGACTTGGGCCATCTTCTGCTTTCCCAGGCCATAGCAGAGAGCTGGAGCAGAAGAGGAGCAGCCAGGACTAGAACTGGCGCCCACTTGGGATGCCAACGCTTTAGGCCAAGGCTTTAAGCCGCTGCGCCACAGTGCCGGCCCCTCCCTCTCTTTCTATAACTGATTTCAAATAAAAAATAAATCTCTGTTTAAAAAAAAAGACACTTTGAGTTGGTTTGAGTGGGTTTCTTATCCTTGTCGCCAGAGTCCCTTGGGCAGGTAGCTTCCTGATCTGCGTCCACACGCCAGCGCCCGTCCCGCCAGCTCCTCTGCACCCTGCAGATTCCGCTACCAGCGGCCTGTGTCACCGCTGGCGCGCTGCTTCGGAAATCCAGTGGCTCGCCCTGCCCCAGCCCCACTGCCGGGACCGACGGTCTCTTCAGCGGGACGGATGCTGGCATGTTCTAACGGGAAAAGCCTCCTCCTTCTCTGCGAGGGGGCTGCTGGGATCTGCATCCAGAGACGGGGACAGAGTGCATTCTGCTGAGGGAGGCCTATTTTTAACCGTCCTGAACCTAACGGAACCTCATCATTTTCAGTCGCTGGCACTTGAGATGTGTGAGTCACATGCCTGGGAGCTGAGGGCTGCGGCGGCCCCTTCACCATCGGAGCTGTGCACGTCAGCTGCCAGAACGACAGCGAGGTTTGGGCTATGGTAAAGCCCAGGACCCTAGGGACAGACAGCCCTGGGTTCAAATCCAGGCTGCCCCACCTAGCCCTAAAGTGTTTCCCCAAGCCTGTGACATGGACAGTGGGGGTTAAGCCTCCATCTGCTGGGGCTGGCGCTGTGGCATAGTGCGTAAGGCTGCCACCTGCAGTGCTGGAATCTCATAGGGTGCCAGTTCAAGTCCCGGCTGCTCCACTCCTGATCCAGCTCTCTGCTGTGGCCTGGGAAAGCAGTAGAAGATGGCCCAAGTCCTTAGGTCCTTGCACCACGTGGGAGACCTGGAAGAAGCTCCTGGCTCCTGGCTTCAGCCTGGCCCAGTGCCAGCTGTTGTAGCCATTTGGGGGGTGAGCCAGCAGATGGAAGATCTCCCCCCCCCAAACTGTGCCTTTGAAATACATAAATAAATCTTAAAAAAAAAAAAAAAAAAGTGAGGACGGTGACATACATCCGTAACACATTTCGTACGATCATTTGAGGCCAGGCCTGCCATGAGCGTGTCCGTCGTCTGTATTTGTCCGGCTCTGGTCTGCCCCACTGCCCACAGCCTACAGGGGCTGCACTGCCAGGCTGACCGCCCTCCAGGTTACGCTGCAGCTACCATGGATGTGAGGGCCAGGGGGCTCCCTTGTCTCCTTTCTGAAACCCAGACGAAGTTAAGTTCTGAAGCAGGCGTGGCCCAAGGGGTCCAGGCTGGGGGAGGGGAGACGCAGGTGTGGCTGGGGAGGTGAGAAATGCCCTGCAGTCAAAGTGACTCCAGGAAAACCCCACCCGGGTTGTGTGGGTCATTTGTCACTGCCTCTGCCCTGTCTCTTGCTTTTAACCTGGAGGACGTCGTTAACTTGTATTTCAGGACCACTGTGTGAAAAAGCTTGTCTATTTTTTTTATTTAAGGGGCTGGGAGAGAGGTCCCAAACGCCCAGGAGCTGGAACTCAATGGGGTCTCCCACGTGGCGGAAGGGACCCGACCACCGAAGCCATCCTGGAGGCCTCCCAAGGCCTGGAGGCAGGAGCCGGGGTCCAGGAGTCAGACCCAGGGACCCCACCTGGCCACAGGCCTTTTAACCGCTATGTTCAATGCCCACCTGGAAAAGCGTTCAGTTTTAAATAGCCAAGCTCCGATAGGGCAGTGAAACAGCTCCCAAGGGGTGGGAGGTGGGGTGGTCGTCAGGAAAAACGACGGGTACATCCCCCAGCCCACCCCCACCCCCACCTGACGAATTCCGTCCTTGCTCTGCGCACGAAGCCACGAAGCCACGAAGCCCGGCTGAACAGGGTTGCAGCAGGGAGAACTGGGCGACGGCGGAGGGGAGCGGACAGAGACGCAGGGCAGCTGAGTGGCCGCTCGCCGAGGGAGCCTCCCCTACAACCCCACCTCCATCCCTGCCTTCTCCCGGCGCCCCTCGCCGAGACCCCCCTGCACCCTTCCAGTGCTTCCCTGGGGAGAACGTCCCCCTCTGTGCCGGTCACAAAGGGCCGTTCCAGGAGTCCCAGAACGCCAGACGTGGGCTGGGGGCTGACGCAGCGCGAGCCCCGCGCCCAGAGTCCTCAGTGGAGCCGCAGTGTAGGCGACCCCTGGTGAGTTTCAACCCCCAACCCCCAATGGCTGCGCCTGCTGCTCCACAGCGACCCCTGCTGGGGGAAAGGCAGAGACGAGGCGGCTGCCACCTGTTTCAGGCTGAGGCCCCCATCCTGGAAAACACCATGGCCTCCTTCAATTAGACGTAGATAGATTAGTGTGTGTAGTAACTCCCGTTTGCTCCCGTAATCTGGTCCTCCACAGTTCTTTTCTGTGTCTGCACCTCAGTGGCCCTGCTTGGCCCTGTCCTGAGCACAGAGCTGCCCTCCTTAGGGTGGCAGACTTAACGTTCACAAGCAGAGGGGGTGCTGGCCTTCCCTGCCCACGCCGATCGAATACTGGACCCTACAGATGATCTATGCTTAGGAGGGACTTAGTTTGTTCATACTGTATTTGCCAAGAGTTCACCATGTGTCCAGGCTACGGATGGTACCGTGGGTAGACTGAGGCCAAAGGGTGGGAAGGTTGTGCCTGATTGCCCTCTGACCCTGGGCCCTGGACTTCCTGGCACACTGTCTTGCGCAAACTGCTCCCCAGAAGCGGGAAGGATTTGGAGTGCTCTCGGGAACTGCAGTCTCAAAACCTTGCAGGCTCCAAGCAGTTCCAGGAAACGGGGCAGTGGGGAGAGCGGAGTTAGGCAGTAGGGAGGAGTGAGGCCTGTGGCCAGGAGAATAAAGCACACTCTCCACCCGAAGAGAACTGCAGGCAAGCTGGATTGGCCCCACAGGCCGCGGGCTTGAGAGCCCTGGGCCTCCACGCCGGTCCCTCCCCCGGCACGGCCACCTGCACCGGCCCACACCTCACTCTCTGAACACTCCGTTCATTTGCTGGCTTCTCGGTCCAGAAGTCCCTCCTTCCTTTTCTTCGCTGTGAACTCCTAGTCATCCTGCAAAACCCAGATTAAAAGTCATTTCCTTTTGTACTGCTTTGCCCTGGGCGGGACCCAGTGTCATGAAGGCTCACTCACCACTCAGTGCTCTGCAGTGTTTAGCACGCAGTCGGGGTCCATTCGTATGCTGCGTAGATTTGAGTCCTGTGGGCGTGAGAACTCGTTCGGTTGCCAGGGGCAGGAGTCTCTGCCTAGGCTGCTTTGCTGGGTTCTATCGAGTCACCAGGGTACCGTCTGGCTTGGCCAGATCCAGTGGCTTGGATAGCATTCCCTGCCTTCAGTCCTCTTGGTTTTGTTTGCTCTTCTCTGTGTTAGCTTTCTTCTCCGGCTCCCTGCAGAGGCGGGGTGGCCGTCTGTCCCCTGAAGTTCAAGTACGGGCCAAGTCTCTCTGCTGAGCATTCCAGCTTCAATGCCACTGTTCCCTCTGCTTGCACCTGCTAGGGTCATGGGCCCAGCCCTGAACTAGCCACGGCCGGGGGCTCAGCCAGGGACCTGGCACCCTGATCGTCCCACCCGGCAGCGTGTTCTCCAGTGCTGAAGCTTCTGGGATATGGCGAGCCCAGGCTTCCCAGGGGGCATTCGGGCCAGGAGCCGAGAGGGATGGCGGCCCCTCCAGCTCTCTATAAACACTCCCCGCCTGCAGCCTCCGTCAGTGCACCGTGCTGCACCTGCCACTGCTGACCCAGCGCAGCACCAGGAGCCCGCCTTTCTCCCCCTTTTCCAGACGGGGAAACTGAGGCTCAGAGGATGGGAGGGACTTGTCCAAGGGTAATGAGCCGCTGGGGAGGAATTTGCCCTGAGATCTGGTGGTTGACAGGCTGGCACAACCAGTGCTTCAGCTGCCACGGGTGGCAAAGCCAGGGTTTCTACTTCAGGAACCTGGCCCGGGGACGTCGTGGGAGGTGGGAGTGCCACGCGTCTGTCGGCCCTGGCGTGGTCCCCTCTGTGCACGGTGAGTCAGCTGAGGCGCCAGTTCCACCGAGATCCGAGTGCTGGGCTCCACCACCCCCGCAGCTCAGCTGAGGATGCACACCCCTCCCCCAGCCATTTGTCCCTGGTTCTTTGGGGGTGCAGGGAGCGGAAGGGTAACTGAGACCAGACCATCTGCCCGGCTCCTAATAATAAATGGCGAGAAACAGTTTCCAGGCAAACATGGTGGGGGGGTTACTCTGCTCACACCCGGGCAGCCATCTGCTGGGCTGTCCTCAAGTGCCAAGCTGTGGGTGGAGCAAGAGGCCGGGGGGAGGGGCAGCACCCTATCCTGCGTCTACGGCAGTGTGGGTCACCCACTCTCTTCCTTTTGCTCAGGACGTAGCGGAGAGAGAGAGGTGCGGTCGCTGGCTTTGTGCCCCGGTGTCTGAGTAGGGGGAACACGGCTCCTGCGAGATGCCTGTGGTAGGTCCCAGGGGCTCCCCGGGACAGGGCCCTCTCCACAGGCAGGCGCTGGATGTCCACTTCACACCTCAGCCCCTCTAACCCTCACAACACAGCCACGCACGCCCATTTTATAGGTGGGAGGCCTGAGGCTCAGAGATGTTGACAGACTCACCCAAGGTCACACAAAGTGGCAGAGGGAGGACTTGAACCCGGAACTCTGCACAGCCAAGCACTTCTTCTGCATGCAACAATGAGGCAGCCATGCCTGCACCCTGGCAACCCAGGGCAGGTGTTCCATGTAACAGAGAGGCAGCTGACGCCAGCCTGGGGTGGTGGGCCTGCCCGAGCCCCGCCCCGGGGAGCCCCGAGCTGCCCCGGTCCTGCCCGCATCCCTGCGGCGGCACCGCTCACAGCCCGTCCCGCGCAGGTGAAGAAGCACTGGAGGAAGGGCCTGGGGACTCCTCAGGACGCCTCGGAGAAGGCCCGGGAGCAGCTGGCCGAGGCCGAGCTCCGCAAGCTGAGGCAGCAGTTCAGGAAGATGGTGGAAAGCCGCAAGTCCTCCAACTTCCGCAACCAGAAGATGATCGCCGGGCAGGTGTGAGTGCGCCTCTCTCCTGGGGCCCCCGGGGCGTCTCCCTAGGGAGGGGAGCACCAGGATCCAGAGTGTCTCAGGGAGCAGGGGCTGGCGTTTGGCCCGAGGGTTAAGCTGCCCGCTGGGACACCCACATCCCATATCTGAGTGCCTGGTTCGAGTCCCGGCTCTGCTTCCAATCCAGCTTCCTGCTCACGTGCACCCTAGGAGGCAGCCGGCGATGGGCCCCTGCCACCCACGTGGGAGACTCAGGTGGAATTCCTGGCTCCTGGCTTCAGTGTGGTCCAGCCCTGGCTGTGGTGGACATTTAGGGGAGTGGACCATTGGATGAACGCTCATTCTGTGTCTCAAATTTTTTTTTAAAAAGGCACCATTTCTGCTTCCGGCTGGAGGGGAATAGCAGCCCCTTACTCTAGGATCCGCCCAGGGACCACACACAGGTCTTGAGTCACTCCTCCTCCCAAAGTCCCAGCAGAGGAAGAATCTGGCTCAGTGTGAGTCAGGTGTCTACTCCTGGTCCAATGAGCTGGGCCTGGGCAGGGCCATAGGACACAAAGTGGGCGTGGCTAGTTTCCAGAGTAGGCAGGAGTCCCCGGGGCTGCAGAGAAGCCTATCTGTGTGTCCTAATGGGGCCTGTGAAATAGCGAGATATTGAGATTGCAATCGGGCTGCCCCAGAAATGCTGGGGGGCGGGGCATCATTCCTTTGGGCAACAGAAAGGTATTCTCTGGGACTGAGTGGACAAACGCTAAGCAACTCTTCTTGGATTCCCACTAAGGGGATGTAGTTCTAGCCACTCTCAGAAGAAGCCCTGACTGTTGGATGAAGCCTGGAGTTCGGAGTTCTGGGGTAAAGGTTTTCCGACTCTGCGGGGTCTTCTCAGGCTGGAGCCAGTCCCTCGGGGGCCTCCGTGTGACCCTTGAAAGTAGTCCTTTGCTGCCATCTGGTGGAAAGTGCGTCGTTCTGTAGGGATTTTGCTAGAACAAGAAAAGGCCTACCCAGAGCGAAGTGTAATAAAGCAACAGCTGGACGCTGCTTGGAGGGCATCGCCGCCTGGTTCAGCGTCCTCCTGGATGGCAATGCTGTAGAGCACGGGCCACATCTGGTTGTGTTTGTAAATAAAACTTTATTGACACGGCCACACTGGTTTCATGTTGCAACTGCAGGATCGAGTCATTGCCAAAGCCTGCATGGCTGGGAAAGCCTAAAATCTTTGCTTTTCGGCTCTTGGTCGAGATGGACTGCCAGTCCCTGCCCTGGAACATTCTGTCAGGTTCCGGAGTGGTGCTTCCATCGCTCTGGCGTGCATGTGGGGCGCGCTCACAGATTCCAATGCCGCGGGCCCCGGGTCGGAGTCTGACTCCGCACTTCTCCAGGCTTCGGGAGAACATGGAGGCCCCTGGGTTTGGGCACCCGGACGGTGCGGAAACTGGACTTCTGTGCTGCTGCTTCCTGTTGTCTGGTGGTGCTGCAATTTTCCAAGTATCCTTTTTTTTTTTTTTAAGATTTTTTATTTATTTGAAACTTAGAGTTACAGAGAGAGAGAAGGAGAGGCAGAGAGAGACAGAGAGGTCTTCCTCCACTGGTTCACTTCCCAACTGGCCGCAACGGCTGGAGCTGTGCTGATCTGAAGCCAGGATCCAGGAGCTTCTTCCGGGTCTCCCTCACGGGTGCAGGGGCCCAAACACTTGGGCCATCTTCTACTGCTTTCCCAGGCCTTAGTAGAGAGCTGGATTGGAAGTGGAGCAGCTGGGACTCGAACTGGCGCCCCTGTGGGATGCTGGCGCTGCAGGCAGCGGCCTTACCTGCTATGCCACAGCCCGCGCCTGCCTCTTCTCCAGAGGAGACAGAGGAAGGAGAGGACGAGGCTCCCGCCCGCCAGTCTCTCAAACCTCTGCGCCCACAGTGAGAGCCCGGTGTGGTGGGAGGTCCTGCGTGTCTCCTGCCGATGCGTTTGCCCCTCATTCCCCGAGGTAACGGGCTGTGAAGGCCAGGAAGGTGGACCGCAGCCAGCAGGTGCTGGGAGCCGCAGGGGAGAGGCCTGGGTGATGGGGTTGGACAGGCACGGCTGCAGGTCGCTCCCAGGGGAGAACACCCCTTTGAGAAGGCGGAGCAGCGGCGATGGCCGTGACCTGGGTCCCAGAGGCCTTGGGCTCAGGGCAGGAAGTCCCTCTGCCGGGCTCCTCTCAGGGTGTGTGTGTGTGTGTGTGTATGTGTGTGTATGTATGTGTGTGTATGTGTGTGTATGTATGTGTGTAAGTGTGTGAATGTATATGTGTGTATGTGTGTATGTATGTGTGTATGTGTGTGTATGTATGTGTGTAAGTGTGTGAATGTATATGTGTGTATGTGTGTATGTATGTGTGTATGTGTGAATGTATATGTGTGTATGTATGTGTGTATGTGTGAATGTATATGTGTGTATGTGTGTGTGTGAATGTGTATGTGTGTCAATGTATATGTGTGTATGTATGTGTGTGTGAATGTGTATGTGTGTATGTATGTGTGTATGTGTGTGTATGTGTGTGTACGTATGTGTGTATGTATGTGTGTGTATGTGTGTATGTATATGTGTGTATGTGTGAATGTATATACGTGTATGTGTGAATGTATATGTGTGTATGTATATGTATATATGTATGTGTGAATGTATATGTGTGTATGTATGTGTATATGTATATATGTATGTGTGTGTGTATATGTGTGTATGTGTGTATATGTATATGTGTGTATGTGTATGTGTGAATGTATATGTGTGTGTATGTATATGTGTGTGTGTGAATGTATATGTGTGTATGTATATGTGTGTATGTATGTGTGTGTGTGTGTGTGTGGTGCGTTTGGCCGAGGTGCGCCTGGAGGTTCAGGGTTAAGCATGGCCGCTCTCCCCGCAGCAAGGAAATCCAGGCCCTGAAAGCCGAGCAGGATGAGATCACGCTGCTCCTGAGTCTCTTGAAGTCCTCCAAGAACTTGCAAATGAACGAGAAAAACTACATGGAGCTGCGGTTCCTGCTGCAAACCAAGGAGGAGTACGAGGCTTTGATCAAGTCCATGAGGGTTCTCTTGGCCGAGCTGGATGAGAAGGTGCGGTCCCTCTCCTGCGGCATTAGCCAGGGCAGGGGCTGCGAGGACCTGACGCCGCAGGCTGGCCCTGCACCCCCGCACCCCTAGGACTCCCCTGGGGGCCTCAGGGCACTCCTGTGGTTTCTGTCTCCCTCACTGCCCCCGTCTCGGGAGCAGCCCCACATCCTATGCCTGGTTGGGACAGGAGGCGCAGCCTCGTTCCTGGGGCAAAGCTCTCCTGGTGGTGGGGTCGGGAGACCCTAGATCTTCTCATGCCGAGTGGTAGGGAGAGAGAGAGGCACCCAGCCTGGAAATGACCCGCGTCACTCCTGCTCACGGCGCCTGGGCTCCAAGCAGTCATGTGACCCTGCCTATCCACAGAGGCATCCAGAAAACCCAGTGCTCCCGTGAGCCTGGAAGGCAAAGAGCCAGAGACATTTGCTGCACGGCCTAGTGACCCCATCCCTGGCGGCCACTCGAGGGCTCTGTGTGGTGCGGCCCCTGCCTCCCACTCTGGCTCACCCCAGCGCCTTTGCGCGGGCTCCTCCACCACCATCCCCGGCCTGTCCTGCAGGACCCAGCGGGTCACAGGTCCCTGGCCAGGAGCGAGGAGCCTGCCCTGTAGGTTACCTTGGAAGGACGTTGTGAAGGGGCGAGCTCGAGTGGGGTAGCCGCAGAGGGTGTGGGACTGCCGTGTGGAAGTTGGGGAGCAGGCAGCACACGCCCCAGCTCCTGTCTCTCCTAACCCCCGATCCCAGTGCAGGGCCTCCTGGGGCGGCGAGCAGGGTGGGGCCTGGGTCCCAGCATAGCCCCTTACCCTTTCTCAGACTTCCTGCACGGCTCTCCTTCCGGCCGTAATGTGGCCTCGATACAGGGTCATTTAACGCCTCCATCCACGAGGGCAGGGCCCGTGCTGTGGCCTCCTGCGTGTCCCAGTCCTGGCACACAGTAGGTCTGCCATGAATCTTTACTGAGGGAATCTGAAGTCTCTTCCCATCTTTCCTGTTGTTCTTTCAGGAAAAGCCCAACGTCTGGCAGGCTCCCTGGCCCTGCTCCAGCGCCCCCTCCTGGCTCTCCCTGTCGCTCCCCCTCTTCGTGGAGGAGCAACACAGGACCCTGCGCTGTTCTTTCGTCTGCTCGGCCCTCCCCGGGTTTTCTGCTGGTTCTTCCCGGGTTGGCTACTATCCCTTCCACCTCCGTGGAAGGGCAGTTCCCCCTGGCCACATTCCCCACTTCCGCAGGGGAGCGGCACACCGCCGGCCGGCTCTTCTCGGGGGCTGCACAGGTGTTCCTTCAGCTAGATGTTCCCCTTAGATGTTCCTCGTGCATGCCGTCTCTCTCCTCCTTTATAGTCCTCCTCCGCCAATCCTAACTCGGCTGCCCACACGCCGAGTACGCTGCTCTCCTCCAATCAGGAGCAAGTCCTACAGTTTATTAGTTGAACTGGAGGCAGCTGTGTAGAAGCTGTTTACTTCTCTCCCAGCGCCATATTGTGGGAGAGCAGATGCATAGAATAAGTCTTAATTCCAGTAACTTAGTCCAGTCCGGTTTGCTCCCCACATCTCCCCACTTCTCTCCACCCCGCTTTCCCTGTGTTCCACCCACACCGGCCTCCTGTGTGTCCTGGACGCTGTCCCTCGCGTCCCAGCCTTTGCACATGCTGTTTCCTCTGCCTGGGGTGCTGTGCCCTTCCCACTGACTCGGCTCAGAGGGGGCCATGCCCATCATCTTTCCCGGCTGGCTGCCCCTCCTGGGCTGGCCCCACTACCCCTGCATCTCCCCGAGGCTCACCCTTTTCCTGTCCTAACACATGAACTGCACATGGCCGGGACTGCCGTGGGCTGATTCCCGCTTGGCCCCCATTGTCCAGCACAGAGCAGGTGCTTAGTCAGCAGGGATGGGCGTGCATGAGCAGTGAGAGAGGAGGTGATGAATTGGATGTGGCTTCTCGGAGCATTGGGAAAAGGCAGCCCCGCGTGGGACCCTCGCAAGGCCTGGACACGCACTGCCCAGTGCAACTCCTCTTTGTCCAGTTTCACCCCAGGGCGGGCAGATCTCGAAATCCCCCTGCCCCCTGCCCCCTATGAGCATCGCCCCCGCGCTTGCAGGGGGCTGCTGGAGGCGGGGCCTCATAGTTAGCAGGTGGATTGGCAGACGCGTTGCCCAGGCACCCACAGCCACGGTTAATGCGTCCTGTGCGGCACGGGCCTGATGGCTCCAAGCATGGCAAAAGCAGCGTCTGGTAGGAAGGTGCCACCGGGAACGGGCTCTGGATGCCATCAGGAGAGGAAGGGCTGGTGCTGGAGCCGCCCGTGGGGGTGAGCTCCCGTGGGGGCCCTCTCCCCTAGAGCAGGTGATGTCGCAGGCTGGAGGCGCTTCCCCCGCCCCCGTTAACACAAGTTGTTTGATTCCATGAGTCGGGGAGGGTTTGCTCTGGGGATGCTGCCTGTGCGAATCGGAAGAGTCCTCTCTAGAGGTCCGTGGTGACAGCGCTCCCGGCTGGGTCAGCGTCTCAGGAGCCGAGGGCAAAGCACTGTGTTTACACCGAAGAGGGGGGTCGGTCAGGGGCAGAGAGTGTGAGTGCAGAGGACACTGGGAAGTCGCGAGGGATGGAAGTCACAGCGGGACCAGTCTCGGGCGTCTGGTGCCATCTTGCACGTGACAGCGGCTGTGGCAGCTTGCGACCGGCCCACTCAGTGCCATGAGTCCAGGAGCTACTTCCATGGGGCACGGATGAGGTCATTGCTTCCAGAAACCATGGCTTTAGGGGTGGGGAAGTGACGCCCACGGGGGAATGACGGTGAAACGCACAGATGGGAGCAGCAACTCTAAATGGCCTCACGACGCAGGTGCGGGGAGCAGAGGTTTGTGCTCCGGCGCACGTGGGTCCCTGAGCCACAGAGAGATGGCGACACAGCTGGGCTGCCTCTCTCTTTCCTCAGATTGTGCAGATGGAAAAAAAGATCATCAGCCAGAAACAGGTCTTCGTGAAGATGCAGGAGGTCCACAACCCCCGGAAGCTGCAGAAGCAGATCCAGATCCTGGAGACCCGTCTGAACCTCGTGCGTACGCGTCCTCCCCCGCCCCGCCCACGGCTCGGCCCTGCGGCTCGGGTCCGCTGAGCCGTTCGCAGCGCCCGCCCATTGCAGGTGACGCAGTGGGGGACGCTCAGGCCGGGCAGCCTTGAGAAGCTCCCGTCCGCCCTGCTCTAGCCCCTCCGTACCATCCACCTTAGCCTGCCCCTGTCACCTCCCACCCTCTCCCCCCAACCCCTGCCCCACCCGGGATGCCGACTCTTGTAGTTCCTGGCCTCGAAATCTGCTCGTTAGCGCACACATTCCCTGCACCAGGCAGACTCGAGTGCACCTTCCTCTGCGCGGCGATGCCTGTAGCATGCCCTGTGCAGCTGGGCCTCAGGATGCCTGGTCTCCTCCCAAATCGCCGAGTCAGGGGCTCCGGCCGGGCGTCAGCACAGTGAGCCTGAAGGTCCCTTTGGTTAAGAATCAGAGCGTCGACGCCTGGCGTGGCGTGAGGCGCAGGAGGTGCTTAGCAAACCTCTGCTCATGGAATGAATGAACTGACAAAGGCATGCGTGGTGCAAAAACTTAATGTATTTGAGACACAGATGCAAAGAGACCGAGAGAGATTCCCATCTGCTGGTTCACTCCCCAGAGGCTCACCACAGCTGGGGCTGGGCCAGGCGGAAGACAGAGGACAGGAACTCAATGCGGGTTTCCCGTGTGGGTGACCCAGGCCCTTGAGCCATCACCTGCTACCTACTAGGCTGTGCATTAACAGGAAGCTGGGGCCGGAAGCTGAGCTGGGACTAGAACCCAGGTACTGATATGTGGTGCAGGCATCTTAACCACCGTGCCAGACAGCTGCCTTAGGATCTCCTCCCTTTTTTTAAAATAATTTTTTAAATGTACTAATTGTAAGGCACAGTTAAGAGAGAGCGAGAGAGCGAGAGCGCTTCAGTCCGCTGGCTCACTCCCCAAATGGCTGCAGTGGCCAGGGCAGGCCAAACTAACGCCAGGAGCCGGGAGCTCCTTCCAGGTCTCCCACGTGGGCGCAGAGGCCCAAGCGCTCGGGCCGTCTGCCACTGCTTTCCCAGGCCCATTAGCAGGGAGCTGGATCGGAAGTGGAGCAGCCAGGATTCGAGCTGTGCTCATATGGGATGCTGGTGCTGCAGGCTGCAGCTTAACCCACTGTTTTCCAGGATCCCCTTGTTAAAGGCTGAATAATATGCATGTGCGCTGTTCTTTCGTCTGCTCGGCCCTCCCCGGGTTTGCTGCTGGTTCTTCCCGGGTTGGCTACCGTCCCTCCACCTCCGTGGAGGGGCGGGCCCCCTGCCACTTTCCCCACTTCCCCAGGGGAGCGGCACACCACCGGCCGGCTCTCTCAGGGGCTGCTCAGGTGTTCCTTCAGATAGATGTTCCTCTTAGATGTTCCTGGTGCATGTTGTCTCTCTCCTCCTTTATAGTCCTCTTCTACCAATCCCAACTCTGCTACCCACATGCCGAGTACGCTGCTCTCCTCCAATCAGGAGCAGGTCCTACAGTTTATTGGTTGAACTGGAGGCAGCTGTGTAGAAGCTGTTTCCTCCTCTCCCAGCGCCATATTGTGGGAGAGCAGATGCATAGAATAAGTCTTAATTCCAGTAACTTAGTCTAGTCCGAGTTGCTCCCAGTTGCTCCCCACAGATCCCCCTTTCTTTTTATTTTTGGCGTTGATACGCGCCTGTCTTCGGTGCCCCGCGGCACACACTCTGCTCTGCTTGCTAGAGTTGCCCACAGGTGCTTACAAGTCCTATCAATCAGGCAAACCGAATCCAGGTCCTCTCTTCGCCATGTTGTGAGGAGGTTTTTAGGTGCTGATGCGTGCCTGTGTTCAGTGCCCTGCAGCGCATGCTCTGCTCTGCTAGAACTTCCTGCAGGTGCTTACAAGCCCTACCAATCAGGCAAACCGAATCCAAGCCTTCTCATTGCCATTTTGTGGAGAGACTTATTAGTGTTGATAACGTGCCTGTCTTCGGTGACCTGCAGCCACCCACAGGTGCTTATCGTCTTACTAATCAGGCAGACCGAATCCAAGCTCTCTCATTGCCATGGTGTGGGGAGGCCTTATTTTTCTCTATTTCTCTATCTCCGGGCATTCCTATTTCTCCTATTTTACTTATATCTGCCAGCATTCCTATTTCTCTCATTTTACTTCTAAACTTCTGTTTCTCTTAACCCTGCGGCTTCCCGGCACCCGTCCAGAGGCTGCTTCTCGGCGCCTCGCCCCGCAGCGGCCTCCCAGCTCTGAGCCGCTTCCCGGCTTCGCGCGCTCTCCGCGGTCTCCACGCCCTTTGCGCCCACACCACGGCCTTAGCGCCAGCCCCGCGTTCTCTCTACTTGCGCCTCGTGCGCTCTCCCCGTTCGTGCCCCGCGCGCTCTCTCTGTGCACGGCAGCTTCCGCGAATCACACAGCCTGGCTTACGTTTCCACCACCGGTATTCAGTCTAAGTTCCCCGGGCTAACCTGGCGAATTCAACCTAGCTCACGTCTGCGCCTTTCGGTTTGGCTTCCCGTCTTTTGCTCCCCGGGCTAATCTGACGGATTCCAACCTGGCCCACGTCTCCGCCTCTGGTTCCAGATTTTCGCCCCTTGTTCCCCGGGCTGACTCGACGAATCCCAACATAGCTTACGTCTCCGCCTCGGCCTGCCCCCACGGCTTCATTCTCCCTAACATATTTTTCTCTACCCGGTATGTTTCCCTAACTTTTCTTCCAACAACAATATTCCCCTCTCATTTCTCCTGGCTTCTCCCCACAGTCCGTATCCGAGTCTAAGTTTCTTCCAGGTTTCACTTTCGTTTTCAATCTCCTAGCTTCCCCGCCATAGTCCGCATCCGAGTCTATGTTTCCTCCAGCTTTCACTTTCGCTTTCAATCCTAACTTCTTCCGGCACTTCTTCCGTCCGGCTTTTCCCTAGGCTCTTCTAGTCTCTCTCTCCGGTATTTTCCCACTTCTTCCTGCTTCTTCCCTCCTAGGTTTCCTATCCGAGTCACGGCACCATTATGTCGCTCCCCCTCTTCATGGAGGAACGACACTAAACCCTGCCTAGGCTTCATATCCGAGTCACGGCACCATTATGTCGCTCCCCGTCTTCATGGAGGAACGACACAGGACCCTGCGCTGTTCTTTCATCTGCTCGGCCCTCCCCGGGTTTGCTGCTGGTTCTTCCCGGGTTGGCTACCGTCCCTTCCACCTCCGTGCAGGGGCGGTTCCCCCTAGCCACTTTCCCCACTTCTGCGGGGGAGCGGCACACCGCCGGCCGGCTCTCTTGGGGGCTGCACAGGTGTTCCTTCAGATAGATGTTCCTCTTAGATGTTCCTGGTGCATGTTGTCTCTCTCCTCCTTTATAGTCCTCTTCTACCAATCCCAACTCTGCTACCCACATGCCGAGTACGCTGCTCTCCTCCAATCAGGAGCAGGTCCTACAGTTTATTGGTTGAACTGGAGGCAGCTGTGTAGAAGCTGTTTCCTCCTCTCCCAGCGCCATATTGTGGGAGAGCAGATGCATAGAATAAGTCTTAATTCCAGTAACTTAGTCTAGTCCGAGTTGCTCCCAGTTGCTCCCCACATGTGTATGTGTGTGTGAGTGTGTGTGTGTGTGTGAGAGAGAGGGAGGGAGGGAGGGAGGGAGATCTCTTACCTAGCCCCCTGTGAGGACACTAGCTCGTTCCCACATCTTGGCTGTTGCGAGCTGGGTGGTAGTGAGGCGCCCGCCAGGGAGCACAGGTGCACTGACGAGGTGGGGACTTCACTTCCTCTGGGAACGTGCCCTGAAGAAGAGGGGCTGGGTCGGAGGTGGTTCTAGTTTAATTTCTTTCGAAACCTCCACACGGTTTTCCACAATGGCTGCCTCAATCTACCAATCTACGTTTCTAGCAACATAATCTTAAAAAAAGAAAAAAATGGGCCCAGGCTTATTAAGGGCACACAGAAAAGCAGGGGGAAGAACGCAGTGAACACCACGCACTGCTCACGTGGACTTGATCACTGTCCGCGTCGTTGTTGTTTGCCTCACTCCTGTCTCCCCTGAGGTATTGGGTGATAACAGGCGTGATGGCATTCCACCCCTGTAGTCTGCAGCTCTTGCAACTGAACGGTGTCTTTCAAAATCGCAAGACTAGAGCCACATGTAACGAAATTAGTGCTTCATTAATGTTACCCAGTACCTGGTCCACAGTGGAATTTCTCCAGTTGGCCTCACAATGTCTTTTTTAAAATATTTATTTATTTTATGTGAAAAGCCCAGTAACAGAGAGAGAGGGAGAGACAGATCTTCCATCCGCGGGTTCACTCTCCCAGTGACTGCACGGCCGGAGCTGGGCCAGACTGAAGCCGAGAGCCTGGCATCCACGTGGGGTGCCGGCTGCTTAGGTGGAGGCTTGACCAGCTGTGCCATAGCAACGGCCCCTCAAAATGTATTTTAAAGGTGGATCCAAGCAAGGCCAGGGCCGCGGCTCACAAGGCTAATCCTTCGCCTGCGGTGCTGGCACCCCGGGGTTCTAGTCCTGGATGGGGTGCCGAATTCTGTCCCGGTTACCCCTCTTCCAGGCCAGCTCTCTGCTGTGGCCCGGGAAGGCAGTGGAGGATGGCCCAAGTGCTTGGACCCTGCACCTGCATGGGAGGCCAGGAGGAAGCACCTGGCTCCTGGCTTCAGATCGGCACAGTTCTGGCCGTAGCGGCAATTTGGGGGGTGAACCAATGGAAGGAAGACCTTTCTCTCTGTCTCTCTCTCTCTCTCACTAACTCTGCCTGTCAAAAAAAAAAAAAAAAAAAAAGGTGGATCCAACCGAAGTTCATGTGATTGTTAGGGCTCTTGAATTTCTTTGACCTAGAGGAGCGGGTTTTTTAATTATTAAAAAAAGGTGATTTGCTTGAAAGGCTGAGTTACAGAGAGAGATCTTCCATCCCATGGGATGCTGGTGCTGCAGATGGCGGCCCAACCTGCTACACCACCGCCCGGCCCTGAGGAGTGGCTCTTGGTCGGGGCAATTTCCTCCCCAAAGAAGACGATCTCGGTCGGTGCCGCGGCTCACTAGGCTAATCCTCCGCCTAGCGGCGCCGGCACACCAGGTTCTAGTCCCGGTCGGGGCGCCGGATTCTGTCCCGGTTGCCCCTCTTCCAGGCCAGCTCTCTGCTTGGGCCCTGCACCCCATGGGAGACCAGGAGAAGTACCTGGCTCCTGGCTCCTGCCATCGGATCAGCGCGGTGCGCTGGCCGCAGCGCGCTGGCTGCGGCGGCCATTGGAGGGTGAACCAACGGCAAAGGAAGACCTTTCTCTCTGTCTCTCTCTCTCTGTCCACTCTGCCTGTCAAAGAAAAAAAAAAAAGACAATCTCTGCGTCTCAGCTGGCTTGGGGACACATTGTTGCGGGTGGCCAGTGGGCAGTGGTAGGGGCGGCACATTCTAGAAAACCCAGGCTGGCTGCCCCCGGAGCACAAGTGAGTTGTCCTGGGAAAGTTCTCCCTTCTCGGCCCGGCTGATTGTGGTTTCTTCTGGTGTCGTCCGGCTTGTTCCTGCTCCCCTGCCATTGCTTAAACCCGGAAGTTAGATCGAAGGTAGAAGTTGAATTCCAGGAGTGAGGATCCACCAAGGGCCACTGAACCAGCGGTCTGACTGCTGCTCCGTGCCCTGGGGTGGGAGACGAGGGGAAACGCTTCCAGCCCTCCAGCTGCCTTCTGGAGTCATCCTTTGGCCCAGGAGCAGGCCCGGTCTTGAAGCTCAGCCCTTCCAACAGGTCACCGTTCACTTCGACAAGATGCTGACCAGCAACGCCGAGCTCCGGAAGGAGATCGAGGCCCTGCGGTTCGAGAAGGCCGCCTACGACAACGCCTACCAGCAGCTGCACCGGCGCCTGCTGATGCAGAAGAAGACGATGAACCTGGCCATTGAGCAGTCGGCGCAGGCCTACGAGCAGAGGTGGGCGGGCGCCCAGCTTCCCCGGGCCGAGCGCCTCCACCCGCCCAGTGCTTGTGCGTCGGAGCCTTCATCTGCGTAGTAGCAATTCTGAGCACCAAGCCTGACGCGGGCCAAGCCTGACGCCGGCTGCTCTGGGCGTTATCTTAGTCCCACAGCTGCCCCCGGAGGTGTCAGCCCCATTTCACACACCAGAACTCGGGAGGTGTTAAAGTACTTACCTGAGGTCCAGGGGAGTGGTGGGCGTGGCGGCCCCCGAGGTCGAGGCCCCTATGCTGCCCGCCTCCTTTGGGCACCTCTGCCACTGGTGTCAGGGCCCTTCCTCAGGTGGGGGTGGGGCGGGGAGGGGGGGCTGACTCACACTTCCGGTGGCAAAGGCTTGCAGTTGGCCTGTGTAGATCACAGGTGTCAGGAGCAGGCAGGTGGGAGTGTGAACCCTGGCTCCCTCGTTACTACACTGGCGCAGGTGCTCTTTAGGCAGTGGTGGTGGTGGTGATGGTGGGGGCATTGGAAAATCCATGTAGGTAACGCGTGCCAGCACAGAGTAATGGCTACGTAGTGGTGAGGTGGTGATGCTGGAGACGGCCTTCACGCAGTGGTGCTGACAGCGATGGCAGAGAACTCTCTTCCTGGGCTAGTTCCGAGCCTGCCACTCCTGTTGCTCGGGGCAGAGGGATTGATACTCCGCTTCCAGAGGCTCTCACGATGAGCCGAGTTGTGGTCACTGGCCAGGCAGGAAGTCCCTCGGAACTTGCGGGGGGCGGGGGGGCGAGGGGAGGGGCAGAGGAGCCTCGGGAGGCTCAGGCTCCGCCCCCCGCCCTGGCCCAGGCTGGAAGCCATGGCTCGGATGGCTGTCATGAAGGACCGGCAGCAGAAGGACATCTCACAGTACAACCTGGAGATCCGGGAGCTCGAGCGGCTCTACGCCCACGAGACCCAGCTCAAGTCCTTCCTGCTCATCAAGCTGAACGACCGCGTTGACTTTGAAGAGCAGGCCAAGAAGGAAGAAGGTACTCCACCCGCGCCCGCCCCCGTCCTTCCTCCCCTCGTGCCACCCCGCAGGACCGCCACGTCACAGGCTCCACGCGTGCCTGGGAAGTCGTCATGAGGTATCGCACCTGTACTGCACAGGCGCGGGATTTCTTGTGTGTACGCTCAGCCGCAGGGCACAGCGCCTGTCTACACAGCAAACATCGCGACAGGGACTCAAGCATTCGGGGAGACCTGCGCCCCGCGGGTGCTGAGGGGTGACTGAGATGGCCTTGGGGGACCCAGGGGGCCTGTCCTTGTGGAGTTGACCTCTCGGGGCGAGGACAGAGAAGCCAAGGCAGGAGTCAGTCCTGTGCCGAGGAGAAGAAAACGGGGAACTGGTGGGAGAGGGCGGGGGGGTCAGGGTGGGCCTGTCGGAGGAGGCCGTGATGTTTGGGTCACGATGACTTGAAGGACGTGAGGGAGCTGACCACGTGGAGCTGGGAGAAGGGCAACCTGGGCAGATGGGGCCGCAAGTGCAGAGGTCCTGGGGTCTGCCCAAGGGAGGCGAGTCTGGGAGTCTGTGCTGGCGGGGGTGGGGGAGGGGCAGATCAGGCCCCACAGCTCTGCTGCTTCGTGGGGGGTGGGGGGAGGGGGCCAGATCAGGTGGAGGGGGGCCCTATGGCATCTGGCGACATCGTGGCGGAGTCTGGTGGTGATGAGGGGTTGAGTAGAAGGTTCTAGATCTGGAGGCTCAGGAGGGGGCTCACGGAGCCAGCTGTTCCTGGAAAGATCTAGAGAACTTGTTCTGGTGGCTGCCTAGAGGCCAAATCAGAGCAGTGAGACCAGGGCCCAGGGGAGTCAGGGGCAGGTGCAGGTCCCCGGCTGCAGTGGGCCCAGGGGAGTCAGGGGCAGGTGCAGGTCCCCGGCTGCAGTGGGGCCAGGAGTCAGGGCAGGTGCAGGTCCCCGGCTGCAGTGGGCCAGGAGTCAGGGGCAGGTGCAGGTCCCCGGCTGCAGTGGGGGCCCAGGAGTCAGGGGCAGGTGCAGGTCCCCCGGCTGCAGTGGGCCCAGGAGTCAGGGGCAGGTGCAGGTCCCCGGCTGCAGTGGGGCCAGGAGTCAGGGGCAGGTGCAGGTCCCCGGATGCAGTGGGCCCAGGGGAGTCAGGGGCAGGTGCAGGTCCCCCGGCTGCAGTGGGCCAGGAGTCAGGGGCAGGTGCATTCCTCAGATTTGCTCTGAGGCCTCTGAAGACCCTGTCCCACTTCTGCCTTGGCACTTGCTTGACCTTCATCCTGCTCCAAGGTCACTGCTAGGGAGAGGCCTTCCCTCGCCACTTCTAAAGCACCAAGGCCATCTCAGCCCCTGAACTGACCCCGGCCAGAGGGCGTGTCCGTGGACTTCTGTTTACTGGGACATCTTTTTCCCATCCTGGTGCTGACTCCTGCACTGCACACCCTGTGGGGCGGGGGTTCGTGGGAGCAGAGTGAGCACCGAGTGTGGCACGAGGTAGGTGCATCGCTAGGTGCGTGTAGGGTGAGTAGTGAGAGAAGTTCCTGCCTCATCTGGACAGAGCTAGTCTCTCTCCGGTAATCACAGCACTGAGCGTGGACCGCCTGCCTGGCCCGGCCCACGGCGGCTTCCTCCTCGCACTCACTGTCGCTAGTTGTTCCTCTTCTAGCGCTCAAGGCAAAGAAGCACGTGAAGAAGAAGAAGGGCGAGAGCTTCGAGAGCTACGAGGTGGCCTACCTCCGCCTGCTGAAGCTGGCTGAGCACGGGACCATGAACCAGCTCATCGAGGAGTTCCTGGCCAAGGAGGAGAAAAACTTTGCTCGGTTCACGTACGTCACGGAGCTCAACAACGACATGGAGATGATGCACAAGAAGACGCAGAGGATCCAGGTGGGCCCGGGTGCACCTGTTCCCACAGCAGCCTTCCCCGAGCAGGCTCCTTGGGATGTGCTGTGAGAAGCAGCGTGTCTGGCAAACACGGCCGCCTTCCCTCTCCTCGGATCAGCGTGCGTCTGCCGGGAGCTACAGCCCACCCCCCGGTGGTGCCATTGCCACTCCGCGGCGCGTTCTGTGATCCACTGTGCTCTGTTCCTGTCGCGGGGAGTTGTCCTCCTCTGGGCCACGGTCACTGCAGCCTGGCCATGGCCACGTGCAAAGAGATGACCGCTGGAACAAGCAGACGTTTTAATTCAGGAGTCATGGAGTGATTTTAACGCAGGTTGGGAACAGCACAGCTCGGAGAGCAAATTTGTGATTTCACAGACGACATTACCTGGGGTGAGATGGAATAATAGTAGACAGGTAGCAGACAGTGAGAAGCCCACGCTGGTCAGTTAGAGGAAAACGATTCATTGCGGATACTAGGAGATACCGAGAGCTGGGGGTGAATGTGGAGACGTGGAGGTGGTCCCGCCAGTGAGGGCTGAGCGAACAAATGGGCGGCACCAAGGGGATCGCGTGGCGTTTTAACGAGGGACTATTTACGGGGGTCTAAGTTAATGAAGAAGGGAGGAGGAGAGGCAGCCAGGCCAGCTCCAGGCTGGGGCACAGGGCGAGAGGCTGCTGAGGCGGCTGCGGTTGGCTGCTGTCACCCAGCCGTGCAGCCCAGGCAAGAGCAGGCTCCCAAGCCCCATTCTTAGCGACTCCAGCGGCTGCCTTCCATTGGTTGAGCCCCGGCTGGAAGCTGGAGCTAAGGGGCTTCCCATTGGCTGGAACTAAGCGTCTGTAGGAGCAGGTGTGGGGACCGCGGGCAGCCCTGGCCGGCCCTGGGCAGAGGGGCGGGAGGGGAGGGCTGATGGCTGGGTCTCCGGCTGACGGGAAAGGCCCGGTTGTGGGTGTAGGGGGGCGAGAGTCGGGGAGACCGCTTCAGGGACCCTCACGCTGCTCTGTGTCCCTTCTGGAAAGGAATCTTCCAGAACACAGGCTCGCGCCAGTGTGTTCTGTGCATCCCAGGGCCCAGGGGACGCCAGGAATTGGGTCCTTCACAGAGAAGACCTGATCTTCCCGTTCACCTCGGGCCTGTGCTCTAGGCCTGCGGTGCGTCTCCACCATTGCCCATCTGTAGAGACGCCCTGGGAGAGAGCAGTGCAGGGCCTGGCTGGCAGGGCGGGCGCGTGGAGCCCGTGGGGCTGGACGTAAGGGTAGTGCCCGGGGCCTGATCTCCCTCCCGGCCTTCGGGTACGCCTCTCCCAGGTTAGCGCTCCGGCCCAACAGGTGCAACCTCTCCCCGGGTTAGCACTCAGCCCAGCAGGTGCACCCACCTCGTTTTCCACTAAGAGCAGCTGGGATTCCAACACCTGACCTCGGCTGCACCTGGAGGATCAGAGGCCGCAGGCAGACCTTCCTCCTTTTGCGTGGCTCCTTCCGCCTTTGGGTTTGTTGATTGCTAACATTCAGCCATCAGGCAGGTGTGCGCGAGGCTCGGCATCTCTGGATTGTCTTGGAGCGGAGCAGACAGCGCCTGCCCCCATCCCTGCGGGAAGCGGAGTTCCTCCTCCTCCTCCTCCCCTCCTCCTCCCCCCTCCCCTCTTCCCCATCCCCTCCCCCCCTCCCCATCCCCTCCTAGAGCACAGGCCCAAGGTGAACGGGAAGATCAGGTCTTCTCTGTGAAGGACCCAATTCCTGGCGTCCCCTGGGCCCTGGGATGCATGGAACGCCCTGGCGCGAGCCTGTGTTCTGGAAGATTCCTTTCCAGAAGGGACACAGAGCAGCGTGAGGGTCCCTGAAGCGGTCTCCCCGACTCTCGCCCCCCCCACATCTTCCTCCTCCTCCCCTTCTCTTCCCCCCTCCCCCTCCCCTCCTCCTCCTCCCCTCCCCCTCCTCCTCCCCCTTTTCCTCCTCCCGCCCCCATCCCCGCTTCTTCCTGTTCCTCTGGTGTCTGGCGGTGACTTTCATTCTGGCCCAGGGGCGCTCACGTGGGCTCTGCGCAGCCGCGGGTTCTCATCTTTGTGTGCTCATCCAGCAGGCACTTACTAAGCACCTACTGTGTGCCGGGTCCACCGACACTGGTGGCGTGGCAGGAACAAGGTGGCACAAGGCTCCGCCCCCGCGGAGGCCCCGCCCACAAGCCGCAAGCCTTGTAATGGGCGAGGCGGGAGTGGGTGGGAAGGGGAGCAGCGCGAGGCCGGGGGCACTGGGCCCGTCGAGGGCACTGCGGGGAGAGGCGGAGGTCTGGGTGCAGGGGCACGGAGTCACGTGACGGCGCCGCTGGCCACTCCGCCCTGTCCCTCTGAGGGGGCGGGTTCCGTACTGCCCCGCCCCTGAGGGGCGGATCCTGATCTGCCACGCCCCCAGAAAGGGCGGACCGCGGTCTGCCACGCCCCTCAGGGCGGGCCCGCGCTGGCGAGGAGGGTCCCGCCGCTCTCCCCGGCGGGGCGCTGCGGCGCCCGGGCCCCTCCCCGCCCGGTTTCCTCACGGCCTCGCCTCCTCCGCAGGACGACATCATCTCCTTGCGCTCGCAGCAGAAGTCTTCCCACGAGGACAGCAGGTCCGTGCTGAGGGAGCTCGAGGTGAGCCGTCTGTCCCGCCGTGGGGGCCCCTGCGCCTCTGGGCCCCCCCCCCCCACAGGGGTCTGCCTCGCCCTCTGCTCCTCCGTCCTGTCTCAGCGGCAGAGCCCTTGGCCCCCACTGGGCGCCGGGTGAGTGCTGGGCTTGGGTCTCCCTGAACTGTGCTCACACTCGTGACACGGACCCCGGATCGGCGGCCGCAGTAGGATGCGAGTTATCCGCTTTGCTGGCAGACAAGCCTGCCAACAGGCGTCTCGGGACGGGTGCGGTTGCACCCTGGCTGCAGCGGGTCTCACCATCGCATGGACATCCCAGGCGGGAAGAAGGTGGGAGCGGCAGAGTGGGCTTTGCGGGTCGGTCACCCAGCCTCTTGCCCAGGGGTCTCAGCACGCGACCCCTGTGTGCGTGGCACCGCCAGCCTTCTTGCAGGAGAGACTTGGACATGGAACTCTGTGCCGGTCCCAGTGCCACCTCGGGCCCAGGGTTCTCTAGCGCGGTGTGGGGCGCGGGAGTGGACAGAAGTGTCCGACAAGGACAGGGACTCCCGCACTGCTCAGGCTCCGTCCAGTCCTGGGCCGCACCGGGCCCGCAGCGCCATTCTCCAGCTGGCCACTGGAGGGCAGCAGAACCCACGCTTGCCGCCGAGGCGCCCCGGCCCGGCGTGTGCACGGGGTCCGGCCCTGGCGAGCAGACAGCTGGGGTTCAGGTCCTAGGCCTTGGGCACCTGCCTGGACTCCGCAGCCTCTCAGGGGCCTCCAGAGTCCAGACTTACCGGGGTCGTGGCCAGCGCTGCCTCGGGTCTTGGGGCACCCCAGGCATCTGTCCCCACGGCTGTGGCTGCTTCCCTCGGCTGGAGCTCCTCTTCAGGGGCCTTTTCCAATGCAGACACGACTTGTGTAAGAGCCAAGGGGCACAGGCCGGCGCCACGGCTCACTAGGCTAATCCTCCGCCTGTGGCGCCGGCACACCGGGTTCTAGGCCTGGTCAGGGCACCGGATTCTGTCCCGGTTGCTCCTCTTCCAGTCCAGCTCTCTGCTGTGACCAGGGAGTGCAGTGGAGGATGGCCCAAGTACTTGGGCCCTGCACCCCATGGGAGACCAGGAGAAGCACCTGGCTCCTGCCTTTGGATTAGCGCGGTGTGCCAGCTGCAGTGCGCCAGCCGCGGCGGCCATTGGAGGCTAAACCAACGGCAAAGGAAGATCTTTCTCTGTCTCTCTCACTGTCCACTCTGCCTGTCAAAAAAAAAAAAAAAAAAAAAGAGCCAAAGGGCACAGACATTTCCACGCACACCTGCTGCCTCCACGCCCCCCAGTGGCAGAGTGGGCACAGGAGTTAGGGGTAGGGCATCCCCGGAGTCACTTCCTGTTGTGTGACTTTGAGATTGCGGCTCGACCTCTCTGAGCCTCACCCCGCCCCCCCCCCCCAGCATGGGGGTCCTGATTGTGCAGAGAGCTGTGGCTGACTGTGCCAGCCAGCATGTGAGGACAGGCCCAGGGCCCGCCGCAGTGTCGCTCCAGTGCCGGCATGGGGGGGAGCCAGGAGGAAACAGCGCCAGGTCCCCTGTCTGCCCTTGGGACTCCTCGAGGAAGCCCAGCCCCGTGGGACAGGCCGCCCCGACCACATCTGTTCGTCACGTGGTCTTTCGGATGAACCACAGGCACCGAAGGGCCACCCCAGCTCTGCTAGAAGCCCGAGGCCCTGGGTGGGGCGGCTGCCCCCTGTGTGTCCCTGCTCCTGCCTCTGGGAGCCCTGTGGGCCTCTGCAGGAGGCCGAGCATTGAGGGCAAGGCGGGGACTGGCCGAGGAGTGCGCCCCAGAGCAGCAATGCTGCGGCCGGGGTCAGGCTGTGGAGCCCCCAAGGCCCAGGCTCTGAGCTTGCAGCCTGGCTGCAGATAGCAGATGGCTAAGAGCACCAGCAGATGCTGGCTCCTTCTTCCCTGTCCCCGCGTGCCACTGGCCAGGGGGCCGGGGGGGTGCTCATGAGAAAACACTGGAGCACTTAAAAGTCTGTTTATTTATATGAAAGACCATCCACTGGTTCACTCCCCAAGTGGCTGCCGGGGCCAGGGCTGGACCAGGAGCCTCTTCCAGGTCTCCCACACAGGTGTAGGGGCCCAAGCACTTGGGCCATCTTCTACTGCTTTCCCAGGCCATTGCAGAGAGCTGGATTGGAAGTGGAGCAGCCAGGTCTCGAACTGGCGCCCATATGGGATGCTGGCACTGCAGGTGGTGGCTTTACCAGCTACACCACAGTGCCGGCCCTTCCATTTTCCACAGCCCTTTGGAGCCACTCTGTATATGTGAGCGGAACAAACTTCCGTGCCGCAGTTACCGTGTGGTCCTCAATGCGCACTGATTTCTCCTCCTCTTTTCCTGTTTGATTTCATTTTCTAAAGATGCTGATGGGAGTCCACTGAACTGACCCCACGCCCCGTGGGGGTGGGATTTGCAAACCTGCAGTCTGGAGACCCCAGCCGCAGGGGGCCCCAAGTCCCCTCCCTAGGGCCCCCCGGGCGCAAGCTGAGCGGTCCACCAGGGCGGGCCTTGGCTCTGTCACAGGGGAAGCTGACCAAGACCACGGAGGAGGCGGACCTGTGCGAGGGCAAGCACCGGGAGATCAGCAAGATCCTGGACTTCCTCAAGGGCTCTGTGGAGAAGTTGTTCAAGAAGATCCACTGTGACGCCTCCAAGATCCTGGTGCAGCTGGGTGAGACGGGCAAGGTCACCGACGGCAACCTGCAGCAGTACCTAGGTGAGTGGCGGGCGCTCCGAGCCTCTCCCGGGGCAGCCTGTGTACTGGCCGGGGGCCACTCGGGGGCGCTCGCGAGCCGCTCCTGGGCTGCCTGTGTCCTGGCCGAGGCGGCCACTCGGGGGCGCTCGCGAGCCGCTCCCCGGCTGCCTGCGCCCTGGCCGTCGCACAGGCTGTTGCTGGAAGCCGTGTCCCACGCCCAGATGCTGCTGCCCCTGAGATCTCGGTTTCGAGGTCCCTCCCCGGACCCCCCAGCCCCTCCCGCGCAGGGTCCCTGAACTTGACTTTGTCCCCAGTCGCCCTGGCAGCCGGGCGCCGTCCCCTGTGCACCTGCAGGGCTCGAGCCCGCCCGCAGGTTTCCGTGCAGGGGCTGTGGCTCCTGGTTTTCAGGTGGAACAGGAGCTGATCCGAGTTCAGTGCCGGCTGAGTTCAGCACCTGAGCGTCCGGGCAGCCCAGGGGCAGCAGCCTCCACCTGTGCACCGGCCCCGCCCGCGGCGGCCTCAGGGCCTCGTTGCTTTTCCTCCCTTTGCGGGATGAATGAATGAATGAACCAGCGACTGTGAAGCCCCAGGAGCAGGGCCTACAGCTCAGCGGGTGGGGGCTGCAATCCCGAGGGGCTTCTTCAGGAAGGCTCCTGGCGTTCCAGGCAGAGGGAGGCCGGGAGCCCCAAACTGACGCGGGTCCAGGATGGTCCAGGCCCGCCGCCTGCTCCCGTTGTCCTGAGACCCCACGCCGACATTTCCAACCTCACCCCTACCCCCACCCCCACCCCAGCAGCCCTCCGGGATGCTCTTCCTCCAACTGCTCGTGTCCCAGAACTTCTGTGAGCAGGGCCTGTGCTGTACTGTTTAAAGAACCGGTTATTTGAGAGCGAGCGAGCGAGCGAACGAGGGGTCTGTCACCTGCTGGCTCACTCCCCAAATGCCCGCACAGCCAGGGTGGGCCAGGCCGCAGCCAGCAGCCAGGAGCTCCGTGTGGTCTCCCGCGGGGGTGCAGGGGCCCGAGCGCTGGAGCCCGCCGAGCAGGGAGCTGGGCTTGGGAGTGGAGCCGGGGTTCTAACCGGGCCTGCGAGCTGGTGACCTAACCGGCGTCGGACCGCCCAGTGCCTGCCCCTCGCCGGGCTGTGAGGCCGGAAGAGCCGCGTGTCTGGGTGTCGCGCCTCTGAGGGTGCTTTGAGGAGGTGGTGGGAGCCTGGGAGCCTGTTTGTGTTGGTGCAGACAGGTGCGTGCTCGCCTCTCCCACGCACGGGCGGGAATTTCAGAAGAGCCTTGCACCCGGGAAACTTCCCGTCCGCTCCGGCAGGGGGCGCCAGCTGGGGCCCGCTTCCTCCTGTTTCTCAGCCATCATCGAGAAGAAGACCAACGACCTGCTGCTGCTCGAGTCGTACCTGCGCATCCAGGAGGCGGAGGGCGCCGAGAGCGAGGCCCCCACGCCCTTCGTCAACCCCTTCTGGGGCGGCTCCTCCTTGCTCCGGGTGCCGGAGCCCGCCAAGGTCATCCCGCCCGTGTTCGGGGCTGAGCCGCTCAGCGACAAGCTGGACGACGGTGAGCCCCGGCCCGGCCCCGGCCCCGGGCCTGGTTCCCCCGACGCCTTTAAAATTCACGGCCGCCTCGGGATGCTGGACAGTGGCCACGCTGTGCACCCCGGCTGCCTCTCCCCCATCCTCGCTCACTCTCCCCTTCTTAACAAAGCTATATGCAGAGAGAGAGAGAGCGAGAGAGAGAGAGAGAGAGAGAGAGAGCGCTTCCATCTGCTGGTTCACTCCCCACAGAGCCCCAGAGGCCAGGGCCGGACCAGGGGACTCCATGCGGGGGTCTGAGCCCTCGGCCGTCCTCCGCTGCCCCCCCCCAGGCCCATCAGCAGTGGCTCACGCAGAGCGCCTGGGACCCCACCAGCACTTGGGTGTGCATGCCACCCCCACCCCCACCTCTGAAGCCGAGGGGTGGCCCAGGCACCCATGACCCTCTTCCTGCACCTGCGGGGGGGGGGGGCCTGCTGGCTCTGCCCCACCCCGCAGGGAGAGCTGCTGGCTGGCAGCCGGGGAAGTGGGGAATGGGCTCCACCAGGAAGGGCGGCTCAGGGTGGGCTGGGCGCAGCGGCTGAAAGGAGCACCCTGGTGGGCGCCGGCAAGCCCCTGACCCCGAGGTGAAGCCGGCAGGGGCAGGTGGAGCAACAGCCACAGCACCTGGGCTGCAAAGAGAAGTTCATTCTGGCACAAAAAACCCACTGAGACCCACACCTGGCTCTCACAGCACGCGTTTCAGTGAACTAGTGCGGATTTCAAAGATTTTTTGCACCAAAATAATATTTTGAAGATTTATTTATGTATTTAAAAGGCAGTGTTACAGAGAGAGAGAGAGAGAGAGAGAGAGAGAGAGAGAGGTCGTCCATCCTCTGGTTCACTCCCCAGTTGGCTGCAATGGCCAGAGCTGAGCTGATCCAAAGCCAGGAGCCAGGAGCTTCCTCTGGGTCTCCCACATGGGTGCAGGGGCTCGAGGACTTGGGCCATCCCCCACTGCTTTCCCAGGCCATAGCAGAGAGCTGGATTGGAAGTGGAGCAGCCTGGTCTTGAACCGGTGCCCATATGGGATGCCAGCACTGCAGGTTGCTTTACCCGCTACACCACAGTGCCGGCCCCAAAAGCTTTATTTTCTAGTTCCATCCCCCACGAGCTGTTTGAGTCCATTATAGTGGACAGTCCCGTCCTCCTAAGAAACGCACTGCGTGTCCCTGCCGGGCCCTTGGGCGGCCTCTGTGTTTCGGTGGGGGCGGCAGAGAGACAGCCAGCCAGGAGAGCGCGCCCATGTGTTTCACAACCCAAAGGCCCACAGCAGCCAGCAACGGGCAGCGGCTGAAGCCAGGGGCCTTGAACTCCAGCCAGGAGTCCCACATGGGCGGCAGGGCCCAGGCTGCACATTAGCTGGGGCGGGGGCAGGGGGGAGGCAGCACTGGGCTGTGAGAAGTAGGAAGCTGCGGGCCTGCGGGCAGTGTGGCCGTCAGAGCGGGGGGCCTGGTGCCGGCGGTGCTGCCAGGAACCCCCCCCCTACACACACACACAGGGCAGCCCCTCCGGGCCTGGGGCGGCCGCGGGAGCGGAGGTGCATGTGTGTGTGCGTGTGTGTGTGTGTGCGCGCGCACGCGGCCACGCCATGGAGTGGCTGTTGGTGCTGGCTGGGGAGGACTTGGCGCTCCTAGGTGGAGCAGCTGGGCATTGTTTAAAATGTTCTTTTACCGTGGCCTCGCGCGACCTCACAAGAGAGAAAATGCTAGCTCTCCGAAGCTGCCTCTGCTGTCTGAGCAGCGCTGGAGAGGGCCTGGCACACGCACACGCGCACACACACACACGTGTGCACACACAGGTGTTCAGCCCAGCTTAGGGGTGAAGCCCTTGGTTTCCAGAGCCCTGGGAGGCAGAGCGGCAGGCAGCTGGGGCATCCCCACCCTGGCTTCTCCCAGCCCGCAAGCCCCTGCCGCCTACACAAGTAGACCCCGCAGGAGATTATCTCTCCCCAGTGATCATGTGGGGGCTAGATCTGCCCATCTATTCAGCTGTCTTCTCCAGGGGTCTTGTGCAGTGCCCAGCCTGGACAACAGCACATGGTGACCCTGTTTTCTTGATAACTGTGCCAGACATCCTTCACGCCCTTGGCTGGGCATCCCTGGGAAGCCCATTTCTGCCCGTCCTCCCGTCCCTGAACCCCGAGAAGCTTCTCGGTCCGCTGTCCAGCACTGCACAGGGACCCCCCCAAGCAGGCTCGGGCAGCCGAGGGTGGGCAGGGCAGCGAGGCTCTGCGGCTCACACAGCCTCGTGTTCCGCGCAGTGGATCAGCCGCTGGACCACGGCAGCCTCCGGCAGCTGGTGCTGGACACCTACACGCTGAGGGAGGCGCGCAGCAAAGACGGACGCGGGGACAGCCTGCACGAGAAGGCGGACGAGCCGCGGGCGCGGAAGAAGGCGGCGGCGTGAGGAGGGGCCCGCACACAATACACGCATTCTCCAACTTCCCCGGCGCCTCGCTCAGTCCCCGGGGCGCCCTGGCCTGAGCACCCCCGGGAGGTGCGGGGCCGACATGTCCGCCTTGAGACCCGGGACCCCACGGCCAGGGCGGGCGCCGCAGGCCGGAGCGCGGAGCCACGGTGGCTCCCGCCTCCTGTCTCTGGCTCCCCGTGCGTGACTTGCGCGGTGTTCGCGGCGCGGCAGAGCTGCGGGAACGTCTGGTCCCGGCCGCGCGCCGGCGGCTCTGCGGGAGCCGGGTCCCTGGCCTGGGCCGCGTCGGCGGGAACGGGGTCCCTGCGGGTCGTCCCCCGGGGCGGAGTGCGGGTCCGGCCGCTGTGGCTGGGGGAGCTGCGGACGGCCGGGCAGGCGGCTCCGAGCCGCGAGGGCCCCTCCCGGGCTTCCCCCAGCGCCGCCCGGCCCCGGGGTCAGCTGTACGGGGCTCGTGGGGGGTCCCTGGGACCCTCCCCCACTTTTCAGGTTGCCTCCAGGAGTCTGGGCCGCGACGCCCCGAGGTTGGCTCAGGTGCTCCGGACATCACGGCGAGGCCTGGCCGGTGCTGTGTGGGGCCTGGGGGACACGCGTGCCCCCTCCCCACTGGGATTGCAGGGCGAGGAGCGCGAAGCAGCGGAGGCTCCCAGCCCCCGAGCCCGCCGCCAGCTGAGGGCTCCAGGGGGGTCGCTGCCCACCCCGGCCCGGACCTGGGCCCCGGGGCACACTCAGCTCCCCTTTCCCCGGAACTGGAAATCAGCCCGGGGCTGAGCGGGCGGGATTTCTACCCACGGAGCCTCAGCCTGCTCTTCACTGCGGGGCCCGGGGCTCCTACGGGGGGAGACGGTGGGAGCCTGGCTCCCGCCAGTGCTGGAGCTGCCTCCAGAAAGCCCTGCGCACGTCCGGCTCCACTCCCGCCACGCGGGGCCGCACAGGTCTGCCCTAAATAAAGAGTCCCTGAGAGTCACTAACAGCGGCCACCGAGCGCGCTCGGCCCCGCGCCGCCTCTGGGCAAGCTGGCAGAGCGCCCGCCCCACTCGGGGCCCCTCCGGCTGTCACGGAAACGTGACGACCCGACACACGACCTCTCGTTTATTGGAACGCGGCCTCTGGACGGTTCCATGGCCAGGGCAGGGGACCGCGCGGTGTTTGTGGGCCACCCCGGCCGGCAGGCGAGCAGGTGGCCGCAGGCGGAGAACGGAGGCCGCACGGGCCGGAGGCAGGGCCGGAGCGCTCCTGGCGGCGGCGGCGGGGGCGGCGCCCCTCCTAGTCCTTCTCCTCCCCGTGGGTGATGATGTGCACCAGGTTCTTGTAGTCCAGGTTGCCGGTCACGTCCGGCGGGAAGGCGGCGAACATCTGGTCGATCTGCAATGCACCAGCAGGGGGCGCTGAGCGCGCGGCCGGGGCCGGCCCCTCCTCCAGGGACCCGCGCTCCCGCCTCGGAGCCTCCTGAACTCCGCAGAGGCGAGAGGCAGGCACAGAGAGGCTGAGGAGCTGGCCCGACCTCACACAGCCTTTTCAGGGGTGAGGTCTGAGAAAGGTCTTTGGTGGAATGTGGAACCTGATGAGAGGAGGTCTGACAGGTGCATTGATAATGGTGACAGGCCCTTGGCAAGTCAGCCGGGTCCCTTCTCCCATGTGTGGCACCAGATATGCACCAGCTCTATGTCTAAGAACGGCGCCATAGAGATGTGCAGTGTGCAACCCACACAGCAGTCCATGGCAGCTCTTCACGCCACCATCACCTGCTGCCCCAGCGGGTCTGTGCCTTGTGAGGAAGGCAGACCCTGCCGTCAAGACAGACTCGGGCCTGAATCCAGGCTCCGGCACTTAGCACTGGTGGGGCCATTCTGGGCGGTGCCATTCCTGGGCCTCAGGGTCCCCACCCGCCCTCCCTCCCACGGAGACTGGAGAATGTAGTGAGGACGAGACAGGGGGAAGTGGAGCCGCCCGGCAAGGCGCGCCCAGGGGGCGGGGCCTACCTCATCCTTGGAAAACCTCTCTGCCTGCGTGGTCAGCATCTCCCGGACGCTGCGGGGAGAAGGGCGGGGCAGGCGTCAGCTGTGTGTGGCAGAGCCGGGGCCCCGCCGCCCCCTCGCCCCCACTCACTAGTCGGCCTTCAGCACTCCTTTGCCCTCGGGGTCAAAGACTTTGAACGCGTTGAGGATGGTCTCCTCGGGGTCCGCTCCTGCAACGGCAAACAGGGCGCCCGTGGCCCGCGGGTCCCTCCACGGAGGGGCCGGGGGAGCCGGCCTGGCGCACGCGGGGCTGGAGGGCGCAGGTCGGGTGCGACAAGAGTGGGCTGTGGGTGCTGGCTGTGTGGCCTCAGGCGGGTCCCGGGCCTCAGCGCCCCCTCTGCGCGCTCGCTGGCCACAGAACAGAGGCACCCGAGGGCGGGACAGGCCGGCCTGGGAGGCCCCGAGCAGGGCTGGCCGCTCCTTGGTCCTCTGCCCACCCGGTCTGTTTGCCGGTGCTTTTACTGCTCTCCAAAGGTGAACATGCATGCACACACGCACGCACACACACACGTGGACAGACACACGTGTGCACACACACACACGCATGCACGCACCCTTGAGTTTCTCCCCGAACACCGTGAGGAACACGGTGAAGTTGATGCATGCATACACACACGTGTACACACACACGTGTACAGACACACACGCGTGTGCACGCACCCTTGAGTTTCTCCCCGAACATCGTGAGGAACACCGTGAAGTTGATGGGCCCCGGAGCCTCCTTGATCATTTCGTCGATCTCCTCGTTTTTCACGTTCACGCGCCCTGGGGGAGGGAGCAGGTGTTTGGCCGGCGGGCTCAGGGAGGGTCGGGCACAGCAGAGCAGGAGCCTGTGCCCGGCTCCCCCCTGGGAAATGCACACTTTGTAAAGCAGCTCTTCTCTGCTGGGGGTGGGCTGGCGGGGCCGGGAGGTTCCTCGGGCTGTGCCTGCCCCAGACCACCAGAGGCCCACCTACCACGCCAGCTCTGGCCCCAAGCCCAGTGTGCACTTTTGTGCAAATTTCAGATGCCACCCCTTCTTAGGACGCTTTACATTGTGAACATATAGACCTGCAGGAGCTACGCAGGTGAACAGAGCCCTGCAAAACTGTGCAGTGTACAGCCCGAGCAGCCGTGCACGGCGGCCCTTAGTTGTAAGGACGGGAATCGGTGGCCATACGAGGGCAAACATGAGTGTTTTGCAGAAGCGCCACACACTCATGTTAAATTGGAAAAGCAGAATCCAAAATTGAATGATCCCAATTAATTAAAAACAAAAAACAAAACAGGCCTAGAAAGCCCGAGAGAGAGGCCTGTGGCCTTCTGGGTATGTTTTCTCCCTACACTTCCCTGCACGGCGTCCCTCCGTGGGGTGGGGGCGGGGTGGGGGAGGGCCGAGCTGGGGAAAGCCGGGTTCGGCTCTGAGGCAGGGCGGGCGCATACCCAGGGCGGCGAAGGTGTCCCTCAGGTCGTTCTTGTCGATGAAGCCATCTCTGTTCTGGTCCATGATGGTGAACGCCTGCGGGGGGTAGGGGGGTGGGGGGAGGCGGCCCAGCTCAGCACCCCACGGCCTTGGGGGAGGAGCTCCACACCGCCTTGGGGGAGGAGCTCCAGACCGCCTTGGGGGAGGAGCTCCGGGGCTGCGGGGACCTGGGGCCTCGGGAGTCTTCGGGCGCATCGCAGGACAAGAGCAAGGACTGCACACGGCGGGGCGGGTCCTCCAGGACCCGCGCACATCCACGTGAAGCCCGCCCCCCACCGCGGGGTGCGCCGCCCCCTGTGCCCGCGCTGCAGCCGGCGGGAACCCCGAACCGCGAGCTGGAGGCGACAGGGAGCGATCCTGAATCCGAAATGTCAGCAACGAGGCGTTCCCGCGGGGCTGGGAGCGGGGCTGGCCAGCGACGGCTGCCCAGAAACCAGGCGATGGCGACCGTGGCCACCCCCGGTGTCCGGCCTGGAAGCCACTGGATTTGCACGCTTAATTTCCAGAGCAGATCTTATCACCCGTGAATTCTGACCCCCCGAAGCTGTCACTTAAAAGTTAAAGGCAGGGGTGGCATCGGGCCTCCGCCTCTGGCCTTAGTTCCAGCTGGGGAGCCTGGGGGCCCCGCCCACGCCCCGCGCCCGCCTCCCGCGCGTCCCTGGCTCCCGGCGGAGGCCCTGCCGGAGGGGGAGGGGCAGGGCGGGTGTCGCTGTGTCCCCAGAGGGCCCTTCTTCCAAGCTCAGGTAAGAGCCTCTGTCCAGCGACCGCTGGTCCCTGGCTGCTGAGGGGCGTGGCCTTCCTCTGACCCGAATGATGGCGGGGACAGAAGACGCCCCTAGCAGTGTCCCCTGAGTCAGGGGCTTCGCTGGCCTCGGGGCTGCTTTAGCTTCGCTCCTTAAGGCCCCTGCCTGTCCACGGCCACAGGTGCAAAGGGACTGTGGCTCCACGATCGGGCGTGGTGGAGTTAGAATTACAGGTTTCCCATCTCAGACGGGTTTGGTTGTTAATACCCATCTCAGACGGGTTTGGTTGTTAATACCCACGGGTGACCTTTCTCCCTGCCCCCTTCCCGTCCTTCTCTGTCTGCCTTCTCTCTCTCCTTAGAGTCCCTTGGGCCCAGCCACTCTGCTTTGGGGGATTTATTCCAAGGAAATGACCAGAGAGAGGCAAGCGAAGATGGGTCATTTCTAGCAGCCAGCTTTCTAAAGCAGCAGATCGCGCAGGCGCAGCGCGCAGGTGACGTTGCTCCCGGGAGAGCAGGTGCAGGCTCGGAGCTGCAGTTCGCTCACCGAGCTCGGAGCGTGGGCGTGCACACCAACTCAGGGTGCTGGAATGAGGGGTCTTCATTTTCTCCATTGTTCTTTCCTGAAACTTTGCTTACGTATTCAGTAGAAAGTGTGCACCCACCTCCTTAAACTCCTGGATCTGCGTCTGTTCGAACATGGAGAACACGTTGGAGTTGGCCCCTTCTGCCCTCTTCTTGGCTTTCTTGGGCGACTGGGGGAGATACCATGAAAAGAATCAGAAGTAGGGAATTAGG